TTCTGGGTCTTCCTCACACGCTTCCCATGTCCACATACGCTTTCTGGCAACACACACAATATTCGCGCCCACGCACACTGAAACACTCATGCCAGCACACTCCTCGCGCGTTATTCACATGTTGGCAGCATTCCAGACGCTCACTTGCATTCCTTACATGCGTTTTTCGATCCCGCATTCTCACACGCGTGTGTGCGACTTATACTCACCATGTATTGGCTTGATGGACGCGATCTCGATTCGAATGGAATTCTGCTGCGAGACTTGGCTCAGTACTGGGACAAACCCAGATGCAGAGAAGTGGAGAATAAGACTATAAGTGCAATAGACGTGCTCGCCAGCGGTCTCAGATCCGTGGTTGCTGCAGATGATCACCAGCGATGGTTGATCTCTGCCAGCAAGTATGTTGATGCCATTATTTGGTTTGCGCAGCAACAAGCTCTGTGGAGTTACGAGGATAAGGGTGTTGGCTTTGGGTCATGTCATGAGATGTTCGAGTGGCTGGATTCCGTTCATGCCAAGTGGGTTGCGACTCCGATGCCGCGCTTGTATGCGCTTGCTTGCAAAAGATACATCAAATCCCTACCCACAGAATCCCTAGGTCCCTCGACACTCTCCATGTCCCAACAACCTCTATCCCCCTGCCCACTTGGGTTTTTCACCAAACCCACACCCAATGTCGCGTCAACGTCCAATCCCGGACATGTTAACTTGGAGACGCCTTCGGCACATCAACATTGTGTTGATTGTGTGTGTCAGAGACCAGATTCGAGACGAAGGAGTGTCTCCGTAATGGAGGGCTTCGGCCTCAGCGACTTCTGCCAAGAGCGCTGTGCCTAGTGACACGTCCGTGCCCTAACTTACTGACTGGCAATTAGAACCTAGGGGGGTAACTCTAGTTGATTTTTCTACTGGGGCGTAACCTATGTACAAGTGGGATATATATATGGTTACAGCGGGGACGGGTCCGCAATTGGCGGAGCCGAACGGAGCGGAGCTAACGGGGTTTAACCATTAGCCGACTGAATATTACCGACGAGTCGGTTCGCAGGGTTAGCGGAAAGGCAGGCGATAACCCAGAAACGGAAAGGAGGGATAGGCCCGAAGGTGGGTTCTGCAGGGCAGGTGAGTGTATTGCCCAGCGGAGGCGGGGGTGCGCTAGCGGACGTCGGAGCTGTCCGGAAGTCTTCAGGGCTCTGTACTTAGGGAGGCGTAGGTAATAAATTGAAATGAGGGGGTGGTGACCATCGAGGGGTACCGAGAGGATTGCGGAATGCAGGGGCTCCAAGGTTGGTGAGGGAGGAGCGGAGTTGGAACGGAGGGATCGGAGGGACCGGAAGTCGATGGCCGGGAATGGATATGACAGTGTGGCCTCCAACGATGATTCAAGCCGCACTGCTGCGTGTGCTGATGCTGTTGCATCGCCGGCTGCAACTCAACATCCACATCAACCCCCGCTTCCTCCCAAGTTGACGCCCACATTGTCAACACCGTCCAATGCATCGGCGCCGGCATCGACTGATGCGCCACTGTCGTCCAGCGCGTCCATGCCCTCCTCTGATGTGTCGGCAACATCGAAACGTCGTCGTCGTCGAGGCCGGAAGAAGCGCCAATCCGAGCGTCATTCTGCTCCCATCACTCCCGTGCCATCCATTTCCTCTTCCGTCCATTCTCCAATCCCCTTTCCCCCCACTTATTTTAAATGGAAATCACCAAAAAATTTCACATTTCCATTTCTTACATATGCTGCTGTTGTTGGTGGCAAAACAATGCAGCCATGTATTCCATTCCCAATTCTCGCCACCCCTGATACACATCCTCAAAGGCCATTTAAGGATGTCCATTGACACCGAACTAAGGATCCACCTTAGTTTAAGTCCACCCATCATTCCTTCTCGATTTTCGAACACCCAATGGTTGTTCTAGTGGGGGAGGATGTAGGGAATGGATGTGTGGTGATGCGTGCTGTGCACGCTTTCTTTATTCATTGTTTATTACTCTTTATTTCTTGATGTAAACAATGTATATAAATTGCGGGGAAGGGTGAAACAGGTTTTCACTCTTCTCCTCCCCTGTCGAAATTACAGCTCTATACTGCCTAATTCCTGACAGCTTGAGGATAGCAGGAGTCAACACCAAGGTCAGAACCTCAACCGACCTTACACAAGGCAAGGATTGTTGCTAAAGGTTTTGGTCAAATCTTTCAAGTTGACTATGATGAAACTTTCGCACCTGTTGTCAAATGGGTCTCTATCCAGATCCTACTTGCCATCACTGTGCGACTCGATCTCGAGGTCCACCAAATGGATGTAAAGACCGCCTTTTTGAATGGCGATCTCCAACATACTATCTACATGGATCCACCAGCAGGGAGTGTGGACTATGGGAAGGAGAATGTGGTATGGAAGTTAGAGAGGAGCCTATACGGTTTGAAGCAGGCCTCACAGGAATGGTACAAGAAGGCTAAGAAGGAATTCGCAAAACTCGGCTTTCTCCGGTGTGATTCAGACCATGCCGTGTTCATCCATCGTGGGAAGGGACATGTCTTCTGCATTATCGCGCTATACATCGATGATCTGATGATCTTATCCAACGATGTCAAGGTTCTTAACGCCAAGAAGTCCCAGCTCATGATGGCCTTCAAGATGAAGGATCTCGGTATTGAAATTATGAACTAGTCGCGTATAAGCGCTCAGTTCCAAGTACATGAACTAATAAGATTGATAATCACCTAGTCGCATATAAGCGCTAGGGTAGTATGTACAATCATCAGAAAGACATACAGGATGCAAAGAGATAGATATCTCACCTCAGTTCCAAGTATGTGAACTGAGAAGAGAAGAGGGAAAAATTGCACGAGGCGGCTTTTAAGCCATCCTCGACTGCGTCCATCAACATGGTCGCCATAAACGGTAGCATCGGGCAATCCTACAAGGAAATGTCCGTGTGCAAGAAATATAGTCCATTGTATTCAATGGTCGGTCCACAGCGTACCAAGAAACAAGAATTTCAACACTCGGGGACATTCATTGGTTTTTAGGACTTGAGATCACACGCAATCGATCCCAGCACCTAATCTCAATATCCCAGACCCACTACGTAAAAGACATTCTCTCACGTTTTGGTTTTGCTGACTCTCATCCGATTTCCACTCCCATTGCATCCAACTTCAAACTACCCCACCTTGATGCTCCTGAAGTCAATGTACGCGATGCTCAGTACACGTCCTGATATTGCGTATTCAGTGGGTGCGCTGAGCCAATACTCTGCCAATCCTGGGAAGGAACATCTCGCTGCCGTTAATCGTGTATTCATTTTAAATATAAGGCTATGGCGCGTAAGTGTCTCAGACTCATGTTAGAGATCTATAAATTGTATGTACCTATGGCGCGTAAGTGTCTGCGCCAACAGTTAGACAATTTTTGTAAAGAATGATAAAATCTATCTCACCTCAGACTCGTGTTAGAGATCTGAGGGAGAGGGAGTCCAAAAAACTCCCTTCTTATACACGAACTACACCAGTGGCGAGCCGTCGCATAAAGAAGAAAAATGGGGTGCAAAAGACGTGCCCCAAAACTTCACTTCCGCCACCAACGATCAACACCGTCCTCGCCACTCCGTCGTCGGAACCGATTGTTGATATTCCAACAATTCAGATACTTGAACTATTCACGAAACTACAAGCTAGTCTATAACGGTAAAGTTTGCGATGATGATTTTACAGGCTATTCTGACTCCGATTGGGTGGGTGACTCACGCAATCATCAATCCATTTCCGGCTTTGTGTTCAAGATTGCTGGCGCTGCCGTCTCTTGGAGTTCAAAGAAACAATCGTCAACAGCCCTTTCCAGCACAGAAGGTGAATACATGGCGTTGACTCACGCGCCTAAGGAAGCCATTTGGATTCAGCAGTTTCTTGGCAACGTCCTCAAACCCCCTTCTATTCCTCACACCATCCTCGGCGACAATCAGGGTGCTCTTGCCCTTGCTGCTAACCCCACCTTCCATGTGCGGACTAAACACATCCGCGTCAGACAACATTTCATTTGAGAATGCGTTGACAATGGAGATGTAGAGCTCGATTACATCCCGACGGCCAATCAGGTGGCTGACGTTCTTACTAAAGGACTTGTGCTGGCTAAACACGACAAGTTCACCAAAGGTATGGGAATTATCGATGGTCATGATTGTTGAGTGGGCATGTTGGAATATCAATGCTCATCAACAACAACCGAGCTGCAGCGTGGATTGGGGAGTTTTTATTTTAACTTAATATCATCGTGACTAACAACGACTATACCTTTTTGTTTCAGAGTCGCGGTACCACACGCTCCCAATTTACTTTGTCTTATATCACCAGTTGTCACTGGCAATCGCTTTAAGCAATATTGGCTCCAGTTGTATAAGTTACTGTACTAGCACGACCAACAACCGGTTCCCACGGCCTCCGGGAGTTGCCGGAGGCTGCCAATCAATTCAGTTGTATTAATTTTCAATTCAATCCAAGACCCTCGCGTTACGCGTTACCGGTTGTTGGTCATGCTAGTACAGTATGCTGGATGCCGTAATTTTTCTCCCTCCCTCAGTTCTCCATTTCGAGACTGAGGTGATACCATTTCTTTCCTATCTGTGTTTGCGCATAACTCATTGTATTTTCATGTTATAGTTACGCGCGATAGGTAAAAATCTTAATACTAGTTCTCCATTTCGAGACTGAGTTACGCGCGATAGCTCCTATTTCATTACATTCTGCAAAAGTTGGAGCGCTACGTCGTGGCCTATCCTATAGAGGATGGTCACCTGCGGAGGCTGTGGCTGTGCATGCATTCGTGCTGTTCTGTTACGCCTGGCTGATTGCCGGCTCCTGTACACCTTCAACCAGGCGATAGGCCCGATGGCTCTGGTTTGCACCACGAGTTTTGGACTGGATAAGGTGGTCCAGTCCTTGACGCTCTCTGGACGCCTTGGTCTGGATGTCTTGAGTCCCCGGCCCCGCTTCCCTCCCATATATCTGTTCAGGGGATCGCTTTCAAGATTTTCCGGCTCAAATATTACCTGAGGCATTTTGGGACGCACCTCACCGAGAGCCAGTAGGCTCTTCCGGCATTCTTTAAGCGTCCAACAGAGGCATTGAAGCAGGCTAGACGTGCGCAAGATACTCTAGTATCGCCTGAACCATTGTAGACCAATATGATGTTCAGTAGAGGGATTTCATCAGCCTTCAAGCGATTGACATGAGGACAGAGCCAAGAGTAAACAATCTCGTGGCACTTATGGCGATTACTATTCTTAAAGTCGTACGCAGATTACTCTCGCTCTGCCGTCGATTTGCCCGAGAGGCTTCTGAACACCCCTACTGATGCGCCCAACTCTACTTCGCCTTCCGTAGTAGGTATCACAACCTCCACATTGACATGACGTAACAGCCCCCCAACCCTCGTGGCATCTTTCTTAGTGCCCCGTTCATTTACCTGTCAAATTCCGAGTACACTTCGTCGGCAAAGCGCAAACTTCGCCGGTCTGCGCCGGCCCGACTGGAACATCAATATCATGGCTGCCCTGGAGCCGGTGTGGAAGGAAGATAATCCAAGACCTGGTCAGGTCCCCATGCGAGAGGTATCATAGCAAGCATTGGGGAACTTCGATCACATTATCTTTGGCTCTGTGTCTCAGCACTGTCGCTATCTCTAGTTCATGGCTCCTTTCGGATGTGTGCGTCGAGTATCTGAGAAAAGGCTATTGGCTTCTTCCACTCCGTTCGCATACTCGCATCCATTTCTTTGCATTGTACGTGTGGGACAGATACAGGTAACAGTCCAATAACACTGCACTTCCAGGGTTGCGTGCAGCGAATTTCGTCATACGTCCACCGTACTGATTGAAACTTCTTAGTTGTTGGACATGTCAAAACTTATGGACTCTGGCTTCTATTTTAATATCACTATTATACGTACAGGCGGATTCTGAGATGGGAAAGCGGAGCAATATTATCAAAAGAACATAGTTGATAAGGAAGTAGAGCGCGGGCGCCTTGAGAGGTTCGACTTACGTGTTGTAAGCATTGTGTATGTTGTCAGCAGCCGATCGTTCGAACCATACCGGATACCGAAGGAACGGACGAGGTGTGTTGCCGAAAGTATTCTTGGACACAACCTGTTGGCTCGAATATGGATGGGATAAAGACGGGAGTGTGGAAGAATCGTCGAGCAGGACCAAAGAGTCCGCCTGACAACTGGTGGACTAGTGGAGGTGGGTGATAGTTCACTTGTACTTGTGCTCGGCTAACATATGCACAGAAGCGCGTGGACGCCCGGAGGGAAAATGATGTTGCGCTCGGCTCCAAACCCGAAATGATACGCGGGTTCTCCCCTGCTACTATAAGATTGGAAGCGAACAATATACACCACTCCATCCCCTTTCCACGCTCACAACCCCGGCTTGCCTCCCTGTTCTTGGTTAGATGGATAAATCTAGTCCGCCAATAAACAGGCAGACGTGGTGGTGGGTGTAGGGCCCGGGGCATAGGATGGCGCATGGTCGAGATCGAATTGGAGCGAACGGGAGATCAAGCCCAGTGATGGAAATAGGTAGGAGGCGAATGAGGACGGTGACTCCACGGATCGATCGGAACGACTTACGAGCTTGGTAATGGGAACTGTCAGTTCCCGCTGATGGATAGGATGCGGCAGAAATGATAAGCGAGGTGAGTAACATTACAGGGAAATGAGGCGGGAAACGGCGAGCCGACACTGGGAGGTGGGCTGGCTGTGCGAACGAGCGCCGCTTATCCTTACGTGGAGTCCAGAGTAAGGAGGTCGATTCTACGGGAAGATCCTATGCTCAGCAATTCAAGAATGGTGAGTGTAGAGTAAAAGGACTTACGGAACTACTGACGCGACAATATCCTCCAGGGATTCCTTTACCAGCGCTGCTGGTCTGTGAACATCCGGCTACAAGAATCCCCCGGCCATACGGTCGTACAGCAGTTATTAGACCGTCGAAGTCATGAAAGGAAAACCCCAAAGGAGGTGAAGGGAATGCGATGCGATGGAGATGCAAAGTTGCGAGCAGTTACAGCAGAGGCGAGGCGAGGCGGACCCCCGAATCAATCACGCGAAAGGAACGTTACAAGCGTGAGCAAAGGTGCAAGAGAAGAAAGGGGGATCAGCGGATTGAGTGATTGGTTGTCTGGGGGGCGAAGTAAGGATTGTGGATTGCGTACTCTGCGCCATATGTTCCATAATATTCCTCGCTTCATCTCCTTGGCTCCTTCATCCCAGTACGCCACCCTCCATCCGATCTATGCCCAGGTGCAACGGACAGCACGATTCGTGCAGGCAAAATTGAATGGTTGAGACCGCAACATTCGCGTGGGATCCCATGGTTGGCCGGCGGGTGGGGGGTGGATTGGGAAGAAAATTAATGGCGATTAGTCCAGCACTTGAAGCTTCCTATCAAAGACGATATACTCACTTCGACCCCGTAGTTCGCCAGGTCGTCGGGATGGGAAGGTTGGAGTGGTGGGGTCATTATTTTGCGATGGAGGGTCGGTCGAACGCAATTATAAGCGTTTCGCGTACCCCTTCATCAGGGCAGCAGCCTGACGTCGGAAATTAAGTGCACTTGTCAATAACGCAGAATTTCATTTATTTTTATCTTTTCCCCATCACGTATGTAACAGCAAACCAGAGGATTGGTGCTCTTTTTCTCCCACGCAAGGGAGAAACGATGTGTATTGGACCCGGCCTTTGCCAGCCAAGTGTGTCGTACAAACGAAAATGCGATCTCATGCATTAAGTGCGGTAGATTGTATCAAGGGCCGCCACAATGTCGACTTCTTTACTGAGACAGAATGGCCAACTCCGTCCGGTGACGCGAGAATGCGCTGTTTCGAGAATACAAACGGAGTGATCTGGACATCAACGCCTCCCAATTGATTGCGCCTCACAAGATAAGGGATGTCATTTGCCAATTGAGTGATGATCAGTAACAAGTTTAGTATCGCGATATTCTGCGGTCACACTGGCGGTTCTCTATCGTCGATCATCCTATCTGGAAATTTGAACAGTTGGCTTTCAGGGATGGGATCCTGTGGCTGGTCGGAACAATGGGATATGTAGCATTTGCCTCTTTGAGATTCACAGTGACGTTTTCCGTAGCACCACAGTCAGGCGCGTTCTACGTCTTCGACGTCTAGACCTCCTGGAATGGTTCGTCCTTGATACGTGCTGGAAAGGCTGCTAGCTTTGAAACACGCAAGTCACGACCTCGACTGCTAAAATTCTTGCTAGTCTCAGTGCGCCTCTCAAACTCCCAGGCGGCACTACGGGAGCTGTAAGGATACTATAGGGCTAGACAAGTCCTCTCAAGAGACAGGCTACTAGCTTTTATTGGAATCTTCTCAACCAAATTACAGTCATCGCTTAGCCTCTTTGTTAATTTGCGATACCTATCAACTCATCCTCGTTTGCCGCCCACTTTGAGTTAGAAACATCAAGAATCTCCAAGAGCCTATACATAGAATGTCTTAGCCAAAAATTTGTGCCTTGCACCCGAAGTTGGACGACAGCTTCGAAATGAAATCAACGATGTATCTTTGTACGACGTAAAACGCTCGTGCGCTACTATTTTCCGTTTCCAAAAAAGAATCGTGAATCGTGGCTGGTCCGATCTGAGCCATTTGCAGTTCCTATCAATTGCCCCTTCTCAAGTTGTATATTCCCCAAAACGGTGGTAGTTATAGGCACAGTCCGTGGGGGGACTTCGCGTACGTCCCACCTGAAAAACCGTTGGCGTTGATTGGGTCAAGCCTGAAACCATCTTGCATTCAACCGGCTCTACCCTGTCCCCCATGAAAATTCTTCGTTCGACCTGCTGATGAATTATTCATACGCGTTATTGCAGATCTGATGTCTAGGATATACAGAGCTTGCTCAGATGTGATAAACAGTCATCGTATCGCCTGAACGACATTACCTCTGATTGGTTTACGTGTAAATAAAAGAATCTGACCAGCTCTCCCAGCCGATTATTGATCAAGTGGTGGATTTAAAAAACATGTTTTCTACAGGGGGCAAGATCTCGTATCACCAACGCTGGGCTCATCATGTGCTTGGGCCTACATATGTCGAGTTCTGAACTCCCGAATCCAGGTGACGTTGCTTTGTACTGACGCGATAGGGCCCTGAGATCATTAAGTGACGACTCGATCTATCTGCAGAGGATTGAACTTGGTTTCACGCTCCAAATATCATCCCATCAATCAATGTTGGTCAAACCTAGTCAGTTACAAGGTATAACTCGGGTACCGAATCGCCACCATCATGCCATGATAGGCATTTCCATCAAATAAATGGCGTTTGCGCAGATTGGCTGCAGAAACACGTCGTACTAAGAAAAACCTGGTGCCAGCCACACCAATTCGGTGTATTCCGAGGAAAGACATGCCAGGGCTCTTTGGTGTCCGATCAGCGTTATATGCAGCATTAATATTGCTGCATGTTGTTTGCACTTCCTAACCGGGTGAGAGTATTACGTCTTTCCAGCGCACAGCCTCACAAGGCTTCCGAATGTACAGGACACAAGCATGGATCTCCTACTGAGACTAGAAGTCCAAATCGAGTTACAGTAAGTGTATATACCACCCTCGTGAATGATGCGCTATCATTACAAATTATGTAAACATGGATTCGGAAACATGCCATAACCTGCGCAATCCACGAGTGAGTCGTGATTGCTTTTCAGCCAGCGTTATTGGCGGGCAGGCCCGATTGGTGATGACGAATTCGAAATAGTTTTCCCTTCGGACCAGAATCTTCTCCCATATCTTATTCGATGTAACACTACCTCTGGAGAAGTGTTGGGGTCAATAGATCCCAGGCCAATAAAGGCCGTTCTTCCCTAAACAATTGTTAGGGAGGCAATACGGAATTTTACCCATCGGGATGGGTGAAAAAAGGAATTGGGGCCTGAAGCGCAGCACTCGTCATGAGCTGAAGTACGCGTATCCCCACCAGGGACCGGCAGGGAGGTGGTCATATGGACCGTTCTAGCCTCAGGATGAGAGGAGGGGATGGGGCGCATATTTGATGCAAGCCCCAAGTTGTGGGCGCACTTCTGTAAGTCAGCCGTAACCTACGCAATTCGTATGTCAAACTGCACTATCGCCCTTGAATTGGCACCAGCATCCGACGCGACTGTTGGCACATGAGCCGCATTTCTCTTCCCGAGGTAGTTTGATAAAATCCGACAGGATATCATGTCAACACAGAGGACCAAGACGAACGGAGCCCGGGGCATCGAGGAGAGCGGGTTGGGGGTAAAACGGTGTGACAATCATGCATATTGAAAGTACGCGAGCCCACCCAGAGAGAATTGTAACCTGTTCAGTCGGCAAACTCCACGAATTCACTTGTTCAGTCGATGTGATGCCGAAGCCGAAGCGATCAAGCGCCCAAGTAATGTTTGACGCCAGGTGCGGTTCTCTGGTCGGATCCAATGTTGGTGCTTGCTGAAACGCGATCTAGAAACACGTATTTACATTGCATTTGCACCAACGAATCTGTCCACTGCCATGATCCATCCCGACCGAGCCGCACTACCGAGCTGGGTGCTTTACTAACAACACTTGAAGAGGATCTCCCTGTGGACCTGCTTTCATGGGGGACAATAAACCGGCTTGGGGATGGGATCCTTCGTATGTAGGCTAAGTCCCGTTTACCGAATTTGGGAGGCTGTGAATTTTCCCGCATAGATGTGCGCTCTATTCTTGGTTCCGATGAACAGGCCTGCAGAACAAATTTACAATTACTTGAGCGCTAATATACATCTTCCCCTCGATGCTCTTTTATTTTTCCGCTCATCTGCGATGAGCATTGGCGGCGGTGTAGGACGTGTTCAATAAAAGATCCCAAAGCTCGTGGGCTGAGTCGCCCATCTTTTCGTTCGTTTCGGTGTACAGCTGGCTATATTGAAAACGTCGGATATTTATAAGGGAGTGATGGCTTACCAGAGCTGGCTTGCGATTCTTTCACAGAGTATTAACACTGGGTGCGCCCCCCACCAAGCGAGAGGGAATTATCCCCTGTGGCGCAGGCCTTCATCTTCCAGTTAGTCCCAGCTGGTACAGTTTTATGATCCCAACACTAGCATGGGGCGTTTAGACAGCTGCCGATGGGCGCTACGAAGCTGATGGCTGGCATAGTATGAACAGTTATCGAGATCCGATGACACTATTGGTTGCTGGGGCACAACCGTTGTCACATGGGCACGAGGCAGAGGAAGGCATAGAAGGGGGTGCCGAACACATGAGTGACGCCTCAATGTCAAGCTCCGGGCATCACTGTGCACTGAGAAATCAAGATTGATAGCGTCGTTGACATGGCATGAAGGCAAACTCATTGGTGAGCCAGCCATCAGCCAATAATGCGTCCGGCAGCCTGCTATTATACAACATTAGCTGCAGCCGAGATTTGAGACCCGCACTTGGAGCGACTAATGCACATGGCTTTGCGGATTTATGGATGGAGCTCAGTGATATGCGAGGGGCCATCTGAGATGGCGGGCTGCGCTGAAACACAAGGTTTTCCGGCACAATGCAACACCAACCAATAGACACAAAATTGCAGTACAGCTAGGACCCCGCTGACGAATGGTCACAAATTACAGTGCCTACAGTTGGGTTGCAGCGCTTGATTACGTTCACCAGATGTCGTAAAATTCGACGCCTTCATTTAGACTATATTTAGACATTTTGTCTCACGAGGGAAGGACCGTGAGAAAAAGCAAGACCATGGCGCTTATCCTTGAGCACAGAGGCGTGCAGGTTCCCCTCCGGTGTGAAGGGAGTGCGATAGTTCGCGCATGCTGTGCATCTGCCCAGGAGCGCTACTGGAGCCCCTCCTACAAGCGTGCGTGTCTTGATTCGTGCAAGAATCGGGTTCCAAAGAATGTGAGAATTAGATTGATAATATCCAATGGGCTTCTACGATCAATTCCTATGTCCTAATGAGTGGGTGAGTCTCGTATATTCGTTTCCCCTATACGAAGTTTGCGGACAACCCTTTCTCTCTCATGAAACATGGACATGCTACGACATGCGATTATCGGGATTTCGTGGTCATAAGACGTTGCTGGGAAATTAGATGACGAAACAAAGGGGTGTCGCTCCTCTTTCCCAGTGGCTGACTACCAAGCCGTTGAACTTGTGAACGCCAATGGATGGGCATCGCGGCACAAGATGTAGTCCATAGGGGAGGACCGGCGTCTATCTCACCAAAGACGCCAGATTCACCAGTACATCACATTTGCTCCCCTGCCGTCGGCACATCGGCGCTTGGGTAATTTTTGATATTTGGTTGCCAATCTCACTTCTGGAAATGAAGACTCGCACTACTCTAGCTTTCAGACAACCCGAGCCCTGCGGTTCTCTTGTTAACGTGGTGTGGATACTGTATCTCCTTTGAGCGCTTCCTGCTCATTCTGGTCTTCCACGACGAAATTTTCACATTTGAAGACGAACGAGCGATCACACAACTCTATTGGAAGTTATTTGGCTTGAGAATCGTCCGCTACCGCAAACGGTTCTTTCTTGAGTTTATAGGATCACAAGCAGGTCTGTGAGTCCTCTGATTGATCCGCCACACTACGATTATTCCATCGATTCACTCGCCTTTGATGGACTTAGTCTTGATCTTCTGTATTGACATCGTATCCGACCTTTTCACCGGACCTCACGAAAAAGAAACGGCATTCTGGTGCAAATATCCGCTCCAGACCAGCCTCTCCAAAGGGGAAAGGAATGGGTGTCATTGACATGCAAGGCTACGAGTTGCGGACACTTAACCTGCAAGGACGGACCCTGATGCGGGATCTACGGTGGACTGCACTATCTTCCTTAATCTCAGCCTATCCCCCGTTAACACCGGCCGAAAAACAGCACGTCTTTGAGCGCTACGTAATCACGCTACGCCCATATGGGTACGAAAGTCGAAGAAAGATGCGCTTGTACTGCTTGGTGGTTTGAAGAGTATTCGTACAACAATTTGGATTGAAAAAGCGTGGAGTCTTTCCATCTATGGCCACCTTTTTGCATCAAGGCGAGACGCAATAATATTCATAGTACTAGGCCAGGGAACGAATACTTGAAATATCAATCTCGTGGCAGGCGGCGATTTGGTAACTGCAGGATCATGTAGGCGTTTGCATATATAAGCGACTGTGGCGTCGCATTGTAACTTCACTCGGTCGTACATCGCATATCTCATTTCAGCATCGAGCCTGTCATGGACAACGCTAGCAGTGGCTGGTTGAAGTGGGTGTAGGTGTGAGGTTAGAGACCGAGTTCCGGACGGAATTGACTCAACGGTGGAACCTGCTGGTGATCCGGGTCATACTACCTGGCTGGACCAGAGGTCTGACTGGCGTTTCCTTGTGTTACCACAGTTGAGGCAGTGCGGACCGATCGAAGCTTGTTGACCCCCACCCGTTTGATGATTCGCGATGAATCAAGTCCTTGGCTTTTACAGCGCGCTGTGATGTCATGCAAGCCCTAAGCATGACAACGGATTCAAACAGCTGATGCCCAAGACATGGTGCGATTACATAAATAAGGGGACAAATTGTTGCCTATTGGATCCCCCTTGTAAGAAGTTGGGGCATACGTCGATTTCATTTTAAAGTGCCGGTTGGCGTACTTAATCACATAACTCAAAGAGAAATATTGGAATGTAAT